GTTATGTTAACTGTCGAAAGCTTAACATTGACTGTAAAAATTACATAGTGACTTTACATTTTTAGTGTCATCAGAGATATCTCTTGCCCGTAGCACTTCATTCACGGTACCTCGGCTAATCAGAGATGTGGATGACACGCACCAGAAGGTGGCACAAAAGCAGGAAGAGCGGATGGTGAAACAATAACTTATTGTACATTATTCGGTAACTATAGAAGCCTGAATGCGATTTGAGGGATTATAAGTAGAAAAACATCTTGCTCATGCGATGAAAATATACGCGGGATGGGTCCACCCTGGTGATGAGAGTGTCTGAGGCTAGACAGGGAGCCCATCGTGCACAGAATCAGTTTACTAAAGGTCACACTGAGGGTGGAGCCATAGAGGTCAGGAGATAATCACGGAATTGTGGAGATACGACCATGATGCAGCCCTGCTGATCGGCGAGTCGACCGAGGTGGTGAAAAAGCAGAACCCACCACGATCGTCAGCAGTCAATTGATGATCGACATAAGCGAGATGGAGATGAATGTATATGTGTTGAATTTTAAGTCCTTGAATGCGTTCATGGGCATCATCGCTGAACATATAACTTTATTTATTTATTTATACGAAGCAAGACCTTGAACTGGCGGCAATTTGAGAAGGTGTGTGGCATGTTATTTCTGAGGGCTTTTTCCGCGGGAAGTGTTCGTTCTATGTCTTCGAGCATATTTTTCCGCTGTAGGCTCAGTTGTTTGTTTCAATCTTGTATTTATACTTTGACTAATTTTAATTATCTTCGCCAGCTATTCCAATTGCTGGACCGATCATTCCAGTTTAAAGCTATGGCGATACAGATTAAAATTATGTCTGTCGATTTGTATAGAAATGCATCCATCTCCTAACCATCGAGTGAAATGGACTATTTCCGACATGCTTTCGGCTCCATAAAACAGTGCAGTTATCATCACTGGAGACTTCTTTGACACCTCTAGTAGCAAGTCCGCCCGGAATCTATCATGGAATCCGGCCGGAAAAGTCGTGTGCTCTGCGTATGGAAAGTTTTTGGATACTCGCTTGTTTAAGACGATATATCTGAAAACCTGTCTAAGTTTCGTTTTA